GTGTGTGTGTGTGTGTGTGTGTGTGTGTGTGTGTGCGCGCGCGCTAGAAACGGTTGTAAAGCCAGGCATAGTTTGTCTCTTTTCTCAAATAACATGATGAAGCACACAATAAGAGAAGGACGCCTCTGACTGAATTAAAGGGAAAACCTCTCAGGCTGTGTTGTGGTTCTTCTTTGGAAACCTGTCACTGGGATCTATCAGTGCTGAAGTAATATTATGAATGTCATGAATTAAGAGATACATAATAAAATTTAATATGAGGGAATATTTGTGTTTCCTCTAAGAATTCAGTTGGTTAAACAACTCCATAATGAAAGGGACATCTCACTTCCAAATGTGGTAGTTGCCCAGCTTTGCTGATACAGGCTATAGAACTGTTTTGTGACGTGTGGCGGGCCAATATCTCATTCTGAGACTGCTCCAGAAAACTTCACGGTGACTTATCCAATCTCATTTGATAAATCAATATGTAGAAGTAATGATTCATAACACTTGTCAAGATGGACTGTCTCAGATAAAATGCTGATAAATGCTTTTTCATGAAAAAGCTTTTTTTTTTCATTAGGGGCGCAAATTGCCTTAATGTGTCCGATGAAATGGGCTATAACTTTGGTTAAATTATGTCACCCTCTGAACTGAGCTTTAGAAGATATTCTGATGCTTCCTCTTATTAAAAAAAGATGTATAATATTTATAAATTCTATTATTGCATCCAATGCAATTTTATTTAATTTAAATATTGCCAAAAAACAAAAACAGTCGCCTGAAGACAGGTTATATTGAAAGGTAAAGACCTTGCAATAATACAGAGAAACCCCAACAATCAGACGACCCTCTACAAGCTGGTAGGTTTTCCACGTTCCCTTCTAAGTGCATTTGTATATGTTTATGCGTGTTTATGCGTGTTTATGTAATGTAATAATAGTAGTAGTACAGTTTTACGTTCTAAACCCTGTGCAGTCCATATGTGTGTAGCTCATGCTCCCACTAGAGGAAGCAAAAATGTAAAAACGAAAGCTAAGGTGGCTTCATCCTGGCCATGAACAGTGTTTGCAACAGCTCTGAAAAAGTCATGACTAAATTACCACTAAGTTATAAAC